ATGCATGCATGCATTCATACATACATACATACATACATACATACATACAATACACACATGGCGGCGGTGGTGGGGCCACGCTAGAAAAACGGGACACCGGGCATTGCCGTCAACCTTCGCCAGTCTTTTCGAGTCTCGTTCTTTTGCCAGTCCATTGGAGGTTTCTCGAATGATTCTCAGTGCAGATGTGGCCGTCCTGGCGGCTGCAGTCGCAGGCTGCGCCGCACCTGGTGCCTGGGGCTTCGCCGGTACTGCCACTTACGCTGGCGCAGCGACATGACACAGCAGTATCGATTTTGCACATTTTCTCTTCATTTTAGGCTCAATTTAGTGAGCCGCTGCGCGCGCCGACATGGGCACAGGTGACTTTCGTCGCCTGCGAGAAATTCGTAAAGTCTGCAAAACAGCGTCCGACAAGATCGGGCAAGACTGCCCGCGCAGCTGCAAGCGATTCCACGGCAGTGGGGAGCTGGGCAGACTTTTCCTGGCGCCGCTTGAATGATATCGATGGGGTGCCTCATTCGAGCATTTTCGTTAGACGTTCATTCTACGGTATTCATACATGTCGGCGACTAAGGCAAAAACTGGTACCCGGTAGCTTTTGCAGATATCACTGCCAAGACCTGAGCCACAGCCACATGAAAGAAGTGCTTGAGAATCAGCAGAGTATGCTCCAGTCAGGTTGGTGTGCTACCAGTTTAGTTTTTCCACCCGAGGACAAAAGTCGACCGCATCGTATTGAGCTTTTTGGAGAGGGCCTGGTCCTGTGGTCTCTCGGTCTCGGTAGCGGATGCAGCAAGCTTTAACATGATGTGTTGCATGACTGTAGTGGAAGTGGATGCCAGCCCGAACAGTTCGTCTGGATGTGCAGATCCCACTTACATCGCTCGAGGTGGGACACGGGTTCTACGGCCTGGCATGTGGCCATGGATAGGTGCCCTCACCGTCTGGCACCCCTCTCTGAGGGACGGGTGGATGAGAGTGGCCACATTGACGCCAGGACTGATTTTTCGGATGACCACAAGGTAGGATCGTGATAGGAGGGGTGTCGGGGGAGTGGCATATCAGGTTTCGTCTGATGGTGTTGTGACGCAAGGTCTGTTTGGATACAGGGGACGTGTGCTGTGAACGACTGTCTATGACTTGCGAGCATCCCAGGAGTGCCCATATCATGGCTGGACGTTCGATGGGCGGACTGGGACATGCCACAAGATTCCGCAGGCACGAGCTTTGAGACAGTGAGATGGTGGCTGGCAACTGGACAGCTGGATTTAGATTCGGATTTGATCACACTGAGGCAGCAAGCTTCGACGAAGATCTTGCCAAACGCTGCACAGCGACAGTTTTTCGCACATCCCAGCGGCAAGGTTTGATTTGGGTATGGGGACAACCCGGAGCGAGCATCGAGGAGGCAGACGAGTCGCTGATCCCTATCTGTGATGCGATGGAAAGCAGTGAGTTCGAGTGGATAGATGTTTCCAGGGACATGCCGTACTCTGCAGACATTCTGCTGGAGAACCTCTTGGATTCTAGCCACGTGCCCTTCACCCATCACAAAACAGTTTCAAAAAGAGAGAACGCACAGCCTCTGCCGTTGCAAATCACCGAGCGGATATCAGCATCAGGCTTTCGAGGAGCCTTCAAGAAAGACACAGCTGTTGGCAAGCAAGGGACTGATGCCATCAAGAACGGCAGAAGGACGGCGCGTTCCACAATGTTTAAGGCGCCAACGTACATGCACCATCGCATCCGTACCTCAGACTCCAAAGGCAACCTGGATAATGGGTGGCTCGACTGGGATTAGGCTCGATGACACTGAGCTTCTTTATGCATACATGTGAGAGGGAGGATTGTGTTTAGCAATGCAGGTTTGAGACCTGGACCGTGGCCTATGCAACCCCTTCCGGACAGCTGCGCAGCTTTGTGGCTACAGTGTGATATTCATTTGTTTCCATGGCCGAGAGCTTGCTGCCGCGTGCTAGGGCTTCTCGGAGACTCTAGGTCTCAAGTGTCACTGTGGCCAGGACCTGGAAGGAGTCGCCTTTTTGCTCGGTTTCCCTTCCGCTTTCCGGCCCCGAAGTTTGGACCGAACTTGCCACGACTTCTCGTGAGGTCTGGATCTCAAAAGAACAGCTCGACAAGCCTGACCATGCCCGGCATGAGACGTTCTGAGCAGGCACCTGCCGGACTGGCTAAATCACTTGGGACAACTCCGAGTGCTGGACGACGACAATATCTTCTTGCCGATTCAAGAGCGTCAGGCCGCCTGCTTCCGATGCTTTCGGAGCGGCCCCACAGGATCCCACAGGTGCATTCAACGTTTTGTTGCTGCCGGCTGTTGGATTTTGCGCTGCAGGTGCAGGATGCAGGTGGTTGGCTTCTTGGCCAAATGGACAACTTGTGCAGCTACAAGATTTCTGCTGCACCGCGTTGTTTAGATGCTAGTATCAGCAGTTAACATGTTTCCAGGAAGACCTACATCATGCCAACCAGCTCCGACACCTTCGTAACAGCGTTTCGGACCTGGTTCGACCGGGCTGGGCCGCCGCCGCATGCTCTGTCAGCCGTGGATGAACATCGGAGCCGGCAGCCGACCAGGGCCGAGCTTCTTGACAGTGGCCCAACGCAGGGAGCAAGATGTGATAAGATGTGTCTAGTTCGCTTTTTGTTTTTGGGGCGATAATGCCGCTGGGCAGCAGCTCAGGACAGGCACAGCACACCGCGCATTGTGCTAGCTGCACGGGCGCTGTGCGGAACTCAAGAAAGGTTATTAACCTTTGCCGGGTCCTGCTTTTCTTGGCAGCTGCTGCTGCACCCACACTATACTCAAGGCTTGCAAACGGATATTAACCAGACGAATCATATGACTCATATGACCATATTCATTGTGGATACTCGTACTATACCTGGAGGATGACAAAGCGTGGATCTGAAGCTCAAGCCCTACAGGCAGTCTTGGCGCGGGCTCGTGCTACTGACGCTGGCAAGTTGCGTGGTGGGGAAGGCTTGGCAGCTCGCTTGGAGCATCCAAGCCCGGCTGACTAGCAATTCGGCCGCGAAGACTTGCTGAAAGGAGAGGCTTGAGGAGAGATGCCCAACTGAGGTGGGCTGCATGACTACCCACCGCCCCGGAATCAGTTCGGAAGGCAGTTTGCAGCTGCAGCTGGTGTTTGCACTGCCTATGATCTGGCCTGGTATGACGTGCGTTTGAAAGACTTTTCCGTATGTCCCAGCAGCTTCTTGTAAAAGGACGAGCATGAGTTCGTCAGGGTCAGTACAGCTGTACAGACCTTATCATTCCTGGTGCAACCTAATCCCTTCACTGCTGAGCGGCGCTGTGGATTCACTGATGCACAGGCGTGGGCAAAATCGAGAACTTCGCACAGTGGAGCAGGGACGACGGTTCTGAGTTGCAGCATCAGGTGCGGTCAAAGTGCCTCTAGCCTGTCGCCTGTTTCAAGGATTCAGGAAGCCTTCGAGATAGGGCTATTCCTGATCGCGTTGCGCAATTGAAGCCACGAGACTTGTGTGAGGTCCCTGTTGGTAACTTCACTGGGAGCCCTGATTATGTTTGCTTTGCGGGCACCTGCGTGTCACCTCTGCCACGCTTCTTATCTGTGCCGTAGAAGCGTCGGCAGACAAGCTGCGGGCTTCGATGCGATCGAATGCAAACAAAGATACAGCAGCAGCAGCAGGCGCTGCCCGCATTGCCTGGGGTGGTGTTTGCTGGTGCTTCCGGTTAACCGACCCATTTTACTAGCGCTCGCGACAGCTTCGTTGTGCACCTTCTCTGGACCAGAACTGCTTGATTTGCATGGTCGGCTCTGCTGGCATCAGGCGAGGTGGCGCTCGACCCCGACTCACGATTGTATGCAGCAGCAATGTCAGCGCCGGCGCCTGATGTTCTTGGGTGTTCTTGGTGTCTTGCAGGCGATGCTAGTTGTTCTGCAGGGGGGTGTGGAGCTGGCCTGGCGTTGTGCTTGAACTTCTTAGGTCACCCTTCATTCTAGTCTCTTCCCGCCGTCGTTGTGTGATCTCACGAGCCATTTTACATAGGCTGACACGTGCCTCGACCTTCGCAATGGCCGCCTTGTCACCCGTTGCCTCACCCGTGCCAGTGGTTCGATCAGTGCGGACAGCACAGTCGTCAGAGGTTCCGAGAGCAAGCGCCAGCACAAGTCCGCTCAGCAGCAGCAGCAGCAGCTGCAGCGTGGGAGTTCTTCTCGGAGCTCTTGCGGCCTCCGGTGCCTCCGGTCGCTCAAACAGACCCAAACGGGTGAAAGTGGTCCGAGCGGCGTCCGTGGTGGCAGAGGTTGGGACGCAAGCAGGGGACAAGCCAGTGGAGGGCAAGAAGTTGAAGGTGATCATTGCTGGCGGTGGGGTTGGCGGCCTTACTTGCGCTGTTGCCATGCTGAAGAAGGGCTGGGATGTTCGAGTCTACGAAAAGACTGGGAAGTTTGCCCGGTTTGGTGGACCGATTCAGTTTGCCAGCAATGCAACTTCTACTTTGAAGGCTATTGACGAGCGCCTCTTTGATCGGGTGATGCAAAAGTTTACCTTCACAGCCACGCGCCGATGTGGCATCAAAGATGGCTTGCGCTCCAATGGAGAATTCCGCATGACAGATGTATTGAATCCTTCATACTTTGTAGACAAAGACGTGCCTGCGGATTGGTTCATTTCTTTTCCCCTGAAAGAGTGTGCCGACTTCTTCAACCTGCCCTACACTGGCGTCATTAACAGACCGGACTTGCAGGATATCCTTCTGGATGAGTGCAAGGACGTGAAGGAAGATTTCATCGTCAACGGGGTTTCTGTACAAAGTTATGATACTTGGCCATGGGGCTTAGGCTCACGGATAGTAAGCCTACAGCCCAACTCAAGTGCATGTTGCCAGGTCATTGTATCCCTTCACAATAGCTAAGGAGAATCACGACAAGGGCGTCACTGTCCAGCTGTCTGACGGCACGACAGAGGAAGCCGACATTTTGGTTGGTGCTGATGGAATCTGGTCTGCAGTCCGGGCGGAGATGTACAAAGAAGGTGCCATCAAAGCCCGATCGAAGGACATGTGCTGTGAGCATGTTGCAGCTTGCTTGCTTCTCATCAAGGGGGGAGCGCGGTGAATCGGGTCTGGCGTCCAGGACGGCAACTCGATCCAAGGCTGCCGGTATTCAGGATACACGGTCTTTGCTGGCGAGACAGTGCTGGAGGCGCACGCATCAGGTGACTGCCGGCTTGCTGCGTGCTCGCTTGCTTGCATTGCGTGCATTTGCTTCCTCTGAGGTGCCCGATTACTACGAATGTGGCTACAAGGTCTACATCGGCCCACAGAGGCCAGTGGCTTCATCATGCGCATTCTTCAGTGTCGTTGGTCACAGAGTCGTTCTGTTCATGTCACTTTTGGATTGAAGCTGTTTCTGCTAATCTCTATTCCGTGGACCCAGAAGCATCTGATTAGCAGCTGAAGCTAAGCCGCTCTGACGACGTCACACATGAAGCGCAAGGAGCGATTCGTGTGACGTCACCCGGGCTTAGTAGATGGCCGACATTTGCGTGGCCTCTTCGTCGCCTTGACCTCACAGTCAGAAAGACGAGAGAGACACAACCACAAAGTGCAAGCGAAAGCCGGCCCCTTCCACACCCGAAATGGGCAAGTCTCGTCAGTTGCATGTAATGCATACATGCCATGGCCCACTGCACCTTCGGAACGATTCCCCTTGTCGCATGGCTATTCCGGCTATTCCGCACGCCAGCGGGCAAAGACGCTTGAGAAAACGCACAAAATCATGCCTTCCAGCGTTGGCCAAACAGCACGGCCTCGTTGCACCCATGCATGAGTCGCCGAGACTGCAGACAAACAAATAAATGGCAAGATGCATATTGTATTTGCTTTTCGAGTCAATCTTTGGCACGGGAACAATGCTTAGAGGCTTGCAGATCTCGGTGGCACTTCAGCTGCTTCCGCTGTCGTAGAGCTGTGCAGACATCAAGTCGCTTTCCACTGGCAGATACTTCGTGACCTCCGACGTTGGTGAGGGTCGCATCCAGTGGTACGCATTCCTGGCTCTACCCCCTGGGACTCGAAAGGCTCGGTTGCAGCGTGGTTGAGGGTGCTGCAGACATCGGCAGACCATGTTGTTATCTCTTGCTTTTGTGACACAGTGAGTGTCGCGAGAGTCTGTCGGAGCAACCTCCCAAGTTAGCAAGCCACATGCTCTGGAGGCTGGTGACACCTGGGCAGGCGACACCGGGGATGCCAAAGAAGGTGCTGATGTCATTTCTTATCTCAAGTCCTTGCACGAAGGCCGGGGAATCGCAAGTTCAGCGACCTATGTCGATATTACGTTGGATGTTTGCAACGGATATGTGTCCATGGTTTAGTTTCCAACTAGGTGACGAAGACTGCAACTTTCCAGTTCTGCGCTGCCAGAAGCGCGTGGAATGTCTGCTTTCACGGACATGGCACAGATCTGCTGCTGCAGCGGCCAGAACTGCTTTCTGACAACCTCCCTCATCCCAACAACACTAGAAACCTGAGCAGGACATTTGCGAATTACTGTCAGCCGCAAGTGTCCGGTTCTCTTTCGCTGTTGTGATAAGCTTTGCTGCAAAAGGTCGTTCCCCCTAAAGGCCCTAATCCCACGCCGCAGCAAACGATGCAGCACCTCAGAGGCTGGAGCGAGGAAGTCTTCTACGTCCTGGACAATACCCCGGCGGAATCAGTGGAGCAGTGACTTTCTTGCACCTTCACCGTCCTTCCACGGCTTGTGTGGCTTTACGTTGCTTTGTTTGTGTTCAAGCTGGAGGTTTGGCTACTTTTGCGGGGATTGCCAGATCAACCGTCTGATAAACACTTGACCTGTAGAGGAGGGAGTCCGAGGAAGAACAACGCAACTACATGAGCCTCAAGAGTCGAAGTGCTGACAACCTAGCAAGCAAAGCATAGCTGACTTGGAGCCGCAAGTTTGAACTCGACCTGTGCCACACTGCCTGCCAAGCACCTGTCGAAAGGACTTTGCTGCTGTTGAGCTGGGGTGGGAGACACTTATGCCGGGTTGGGATGCGTGAGCTATTGCTCAAGAGACGACACGAACCAAACGTAGCACCTTTCAAGATGTAGACACGCGGCAAGATCTTTGGCTTTATGTCAGCATCTTCCCCGAAGCATGGAGAGCATACCAACTGTCTTGCAGTTAAGCGGCACAGACAGACCTCATCATTGCTGGCGGATGCCATCCGGGCAAGATAATCTGTGGCAGTGTACGATTGTCAGGACCGCTTGCCAAGACGTCTTGAGATGGCATGCAGCTGCATGTCGACGATCTGAGGCGAGATTTGTACGATCGCTGGCCGGAGTTCTTTCGCTCTTGGGCAGATGGCACCTTGGATGCATCAGATACTCTTTTCGTTTGTTTGGTGGTTGACACGCTCGCCGCCGGCCTGAGGCAATGTGGTGCTGATGGGCGATGCAGTGCACCCTATGATGCCGCAGCTTGTCACATCTCGGCCATGCGGGTACTGTTATTGCTTCGTCGTGCCACGAGCAGAGGAATTTGGGCCAGGGTGGCTGCCAAGCGATCGAGGCAGGCTGAAAGCAATTCGCCGCGAACCTATGATGTTAAGAGTCCGAGTTTGCATTGAATCGAGTTCGGCTCGTTTCGTTTCACCAAGTTCAGCTCCGTAGCACGCAGCTCTGCAGTTGACCTGCGCAGACACTGCACAAGTGGTTGTGAAGCCGCGTGGCTAGAGCTGTTAGACTGTCCGAATTGACAGGATGCATATGAGCTCGTCCGAATCCTGGACGGCTCGAAGACCTATTCTCAGGACTTTGATCCCAAGGCTGGAGCCTGCAGCACGGCGACAGGTTGGCCTCCTTGTTTGGGCTGCGCAGGTGACGGCAGATGCCCTGCAGCGATTTTATCGCAACCGGATGCCGCGGGTTGCGGGCATCTCCCTGCTGTCAGGGTTGGCATCTGATTTGATCATCAATGCCAGGGTCTGAGAGACCACCACGCGAAAACTTGTGGTATTCCCTGCTACAGTTCTTGAGGTAGATGGAACTGGTACCATCGCTCGATAACCGTGCCTGATGCAGGCATTTGGTACGCCGTGGTCCCCACACGACGAAGCTCTGGCTGCATTCAAACTCGCTGGCTCTGTGCCTTTCTAGGTCGCAGTGGTGCTGTGCGGCCGAAGTTGGGCGGTTTTCTTAAAATCAAGCTGACCATCTGGATTTGCCTTTCAGTCTCCCTTGCCTGGCTGCCTTGAGTCCATGCGCGATTGGGAGCAACTGCACTTGACTTTTTGGAATTTGGAAGCCGTGCCGTCAACGAGCTAAGGACAAGGGCATGGACTGGAGGTCCTACTTGACTTTGGCCTGGAAGCCCTTGCTCCAGTTTGTGTTCTTCCCGCTCCAGCCACTCGATGTCCCACAAGTAACAGGCTTGACCGCTGCTTGGGTTTTTCTCAACGTTGTGGCTGGCAGTGCAATCTGTGCTCGTAGTCGAAAGATTTCGATGCTGTTCGACATAGCAGACACGAAGCCACGTGTTTGGTAGAGCGGCTTTGACTGCAGAAAGTGACGTGCTATCGGTTCCAGCTGGCGCTGGCCACACTCACACGCACGGGGAGCACTGAGCAGAGGGTGATATAGTTTCCAGCTCGCAAGTGAAATGCGCAAAGAGCGAGAACTCGGAAGCAGAACGATTTTTCAGATTCGTTGAAAATTGGCGGACTGGTCGACTGAACAGAGCAGTGTTGCTGTCGCACTGTTCGTCGCCATTGAAGCATGTCGTGGACAGAAGCGCGTGGATGCGAAAGAGTCTCGTCAAGGCAATCCGTGCTGGGGCCAGAATGGACTTCGAGATGTCAGGTAAGAGCATGCACTGCTCTCGACGCCAGTTTTCTTGAGTGCCATCCACTTCGCCCTCCCTCGCCTGCGAAGCACAGGCAAAGACTCCAGATCGCACTCCAGGAGGGTCTGTCGGACTCGCCAAACGATGGGTTGGACTCGAGTTTTAGAGCCCCGAAACGGCCTTGGAGTGGTTAGCCAGGGAGATGGTGAGCATCGGATATCCGACAAAAGCTCAGGTTCCTCTTCCTCTACTCGAACCACCCGTCTGGAGGAATGGGGGACTTGCCGCAGCGGTTGGTGGACGAGTGGGAAAAACGTCACAGAGCAAAAGCGGAGGCTTTGTGCGCTGTGAGCAGCTGGGAGCTGATGTGTTGCTGTGTTTTTGGCCATAGCAATGCATCCTGGCAGCCTTGGCATTTGTCTTTGCAGGCCGCCTTTGCAGCCAAAAGAAGCGGGAAAGCATCCAGCAGCGGCCCATCATTCTTTGCCAAGGTGAACCAGGTAGAGGAGGAAAAGGCAGCGCAGCTTCGTGTCTGCTGGCGTAGATGTGCAGCTGGCCGTTTCTGAGCTCTGAGCTCAAGTGTAGTGTCTGGTTTGCTGAGCCTGTCGAGGTGCCAGTGTATGATGCATGATCTGACACAGCGACTCGTGAAGCTTGGGAGTGATCTGTCGGGCGTGTCTGTGCAAAGGCAGGCTGCACCCCAGCAAAATGTTCGGGTTCACATGCACGTTCGTTTGCCGCATGGCAATGTGCATTGAAGCGAACCGCAGCCTCGAAGAAGCCGAGGCGTCAGTTCTTGTAGCGGTTCCCATCAGCACATGCACAGATGGTGAATGTACCATCTCAGTGCAGCTTAATCAAAAAAACGTCATGCTACGCATTACAATGGCCTGGCCGACAACGAGACGCAGTGGTACCAGACCGAGGAGGAACTACCAATATTGTAGCTTTCCTAGCTTCGTTGCCGGCAGGATCAGAATGACTTCAGTGCGAGTCATCAGGTTTTTAAGACAAGTCGGCAGGGCCATTGACGATTAAAAGGCTCCGGCTGCATCATTTGGGGCGGGTGGGAGATCATTTTGCGACGAGGACTCACTTCATTGGCGACATTGTTGATTTTGAAAAAGTGAAAGTGTCAACTTGAATTCTTTAGTTTCGATCCGCTCGTCAAACGCACAAATATCAAATCTCTGCTGCCGCTGCCACGCGTGTTGTTCCATGATTGTACGTCAAGGTGCCGCTGGGAAGCGCGACAGAGATCCGCAGCAGCTGCAGATGCCATGCTGCTGTCACTAGGTTCAATTGGTCCAGAGCGAACTGTTGTTCGGTAGTTAGTCTCGCTGCGCTTCTGAACTTTGAGGTATGATGAGTTTATGTCTCTGCCCAATGCGGCAGCAGGCGGTGTGCACTCTCACTAGCTGGCTGATTTCGGCCTGAATTCCCTTCGGAAGTGTAGCTGCCAGACGCATATACATCGGCATTGACCGGCTCTGATCATTTGCGTTCGCACTGTGAGGATCTCAGCTGATCCGCGAGGCGGCTCAAGCCTGTGAGGCCGACAGATCTTCGACCACCTTGCTTCAACATAGGGAAGGGCCAGGGAGGCGTGCATTCAGATCAGCTTGTGCAGTGAAGCGTGCTGAGCTTTCCGAACTAGCTGCTGCCACAGCATCAATGTCTTTGGCCCGGGAAGTGCCCCTTTGAGTTTGTGTGCCTTGCTTGGGGGTTCGCTTCCTTCACCAATGTCAAACCAGAACAGACTCTACTACGAGGTAAACGCGCAAGCATACGTTTTACCTTCCCCACCCGCGTTTTGTAGCTTCGATGCGAAAACGACATAAACTACAAGTGCAAAGTCAAGAAACGAAGTGCTGCTGCATCGACGCAACTTGCTGACACAGGCATTTTTCACCCGCGGAGACGAAAGTGGTACGTAATTTTTCTGGCTTCTTTGGTTCATTGGGTAAGGCGGTGGTGGGCATTAAGCATGCAGCGGCAGTGGACGACTTGCTGTTGATTGCCCTAGGCCTCTCACTTATGAGCTACTTATGAGCTGGCGCTTGGAGGGAAGTCGGTGTGCACGCTGGGTTCAGGATGGCCCCTGGCTCCAGCCCGTTTCGTCGCCCAAGAGAACCTTTGGAGCACAGTTTTGGGCCGATGTCGGGTCATTGCTGTGTATGTTGTGTGGCATATATGTGTGCGCAAACATGCAGAAGCGAAAACACGTCGCAACTTTTTCAGCCGGACGTCGCTTAAGTTTTTGTACTCAGAGCCCACTTTTGTGACTGCGTGTAAGCACGGTTTTTGATCAACTTCGGAAATTCGGTATTGCCCTCCAGATTGTTTAGCGGTAACATGCGAGAGGTTGCAACACCGTGACACCCACCTAATCAGTTTTCATTGAAAAGCCACAGCACAAGATCTGCTAGGACGGAGGATTGTGGACTCGGGCACTGTCGCTGCTGGAAATAGCGCGTCGCCCCAAGAGTTGCACATGTGGTCCGGCACCTGAACCAGTCTGTGGAGCCTCTTCCATCCGGCAGGATCAAGACCTAGCACCAGTTGTCAGCATTTGCGGCCCGAGCGAGTGCGCGGCGAATCTGCGCACATGGCATCGGCGCGCGATGTCTGGTCCATCGCAATGCCCCGACCAGGCCGCTCCCGAGGCTTGATTGAGAACCGTGAATCTTCAGTGACAAGTTGTCCATCATCCCAGTGCTTAACTTGTGCTTGTTCCCGTTCGTATCAATCCCATCCCTGGTGCATCAAGTGCAGCACTTGAAGACGTCTGAAGCACTATGTAAAACCTTTGACAGGTGCTCTTCCTCCTTGATGGAAGTGGGCTGAGCCACAAGCCCGGTGGCACGGAGCGTGGGCATTGTGGCGATGGCATGGCTTGGAGCTTCAGCTTGCTAGTTTGGCTTGTTTAAAATCGTGGCAAGGGCCCAAGGCTTGTTAGGCATGCTGCGAGTGGGGGTGGAAAGTTGCAGGAGCCAAGCAAATGCAAATGTCTGTGTGTGTGACTGTGAGTCTGAGGGTTCAGAGGAGCATGACTTGACTTCGTGATGCTTCTCAGGGCAATATTTATCTACAGCCCCCGTTTCATGGGGGCTGTCTATTTCGCTTCTGTAAAGGATTGTGCTGCTTTGTCTCCGTATCTATGACAGTAGTGTGCCTGCGAAGCAGCACAGCCAACAACAGCCAACTCTAAGCTAAATGCAGTGTTGCACGAGGAGGGCATGTTTCAAGCGTGACCAGCGGTGTAGGGCTCAAGCTCCTGAGCAAAAGTCCCGCTGGCAGTCAGGACAACTCCGATTCATCATTTGGACATGCCCGCCGGCGACTTACCCCGCCGGTGCATAACTCAACGACGGTCTTCCTCAGCTCAAACCGACAGCGGTGGAGCGCCTCGAGGAGAAGCTTATCTCATGCTGCCGCCAAATCCGCGAGCTTGTCCCTGCACCGCCGGCTGTACTATCGGAAGGGCATGGCTTATTCTTTCAGGAAGTTGATTTAGAAAGGCGATGTGTATGTGCTTGTGTGTATATATATATATAT